CAAGCAACAGGATTTCAGCCTAGGCATAAGACTCAGGCATCCTGGCCCCTTCTCCCTTGGTATTTGCAGAAAAAAGTTCTTCTCTTTCAGATATTCCTGACAAAGGTTTGGGGACAGGCAGCATCCTGGCCATTATCTTAGCCATCCTCCTTCTGTTGGTCTTGTTGGTGGTGGATGTCTCGTGCTATTACAGACGCCAATGTGGCTTCCTGATGTAGTGCCGAAACAACATCCTGCGCAAAAATTCAGCTGGGACAGGCACTGAAAGCAACAGGTGAGTTTGTGAGAGGGAGACAAGGGCAGGCCTTGGAGAGGATGCAAACCAAGGATAGATGCCCCATGGATTAAGAATTTCAACTGACCTCTCTCACCAACGGTCTACACCTCCCTCTGTCTCTAATCAATTGATGGGGCAGTTGGGTAGCTGTATATCAGTCTTATTGTTGTAAGATTCAATGGAAAGATCAGGAGATTTCAATATGTGCCTCTTGCAATTGGTCACACGGCTCTTTGCTACTGAAACTGGAACCTTACTGTTAAGCCAATAATATTCTACAACGATTGTAGACAAAATGGGTTCAGCTCAAATTCATTCATTCCAGGAGTAGATTAAGGAGATTGATGGGTTAGGCTCTAAATATGTTGGTCTAGATCCAACCCAAAGCTTTTAGGCAGGGTGTTCAGTCCACGTGATCATCTTGTAGAACCAGTCCCATCGATTTGTTCTTCTCACAGTTAAGGCTGAGTTGTTTTGTGGGGCAAACCAGAGAAAGAAACTGAGGAGGAGTTGGAGTCAAAGCATCTTCTGAAGAACCTAATTATTTCATTCTTTCTATAGGAAAATGCTTTCCAAGTCTGGAAAAAATACAGTGGTCAATGTCTCTGGCATTGAGGCTTGATGAGTCCAAAGCTGTGACCTTGGATGATCAAGTCACCGGGACTATGCAGCAGGGGATAAAGAACTCCAAAGACCACTTCCACCTTACCACATCCCCTTGACCCTTTGTTATGATTGTTAAGTGCCCAAGTAGACAATAAGGAGGAAAGCAGATCACCTGTGACTGACCGGTTTTATTGTTCGAAGAGGATTTTTTATTTCTGAAATGCACATCTCAGCAATCAAAAATCCAAATGAAGCTTGTGCTTACCTTTCAGGGACCAATCGCAGAACAGAGCATGCTAAAGCCAAAATGCAGAGATGAGGCAGCAGAGATGCTAAGTGTATCATCTGGATTGATCCAGATACACCCTGCTGCTCTAGAAACAGGGGCCGACAAAACCTCTGACATGTCAATTCCCAGCATTCCCTACAGCGATCGCCTTTGGTTGTCCTCTTTTTTTGGGATAATACTAGAATGCTTCATGTCCCCGTTCGTCTGCCATTCCCTTGCTTCAGCTGTGGCGCTTCTTTAACAATAGATCTTTACCATTGTGTGCTATGTTCTCTTTGAGATTCCATGATTTCATTTTATTAATGGGACAATAAGGATGTTCTGTCGCCCTTTCCCCAGTTTGTCATCAATCTATTCTTTTTTTAAAAAATGTAGTGTTTGGATGGAAAGTCCTCACTGTTCTTATTGCAACAATCTACAGTATTTCCTCATGATGGGCTTCAGATTGGAGAGCATGCAAGCCTGTAAAGTTATTGTGGAAGCAATTTGCTAATCAACTAAAAATCACAGGAAACGTGATTTGAACAAGTGTTTGCAAAATGGCAAATACCATATATATATATGGTATATATGTGTAATCCACACACAGTCACTATGTCATAAGCTTTTGCCATGGGATAGTTAAGAAATTCCCTTTGAAAACTGGGGCTGAAATCAAGTGCTTTTCCAAGAATCCTATGGGGGCAGTTTGTGGCACATGATCTTGTATGTTTTTGATGTCCGTGTTATCCATTGTTTTTGTAGATCTTTGCTCATTTATTGTTTTGAGGTATCGATTTTCCTGTACAGGTGCCTTGTACGGGTGCCCTTTTTTGAGCAATGTTGCGCTCCACAAAACGATTGTTCCTATGGGCAATATTCACTGGACGATGTTTGGGTCCTTGCCCACTGGACGATGTTTAGGTCCTTGCCACGCAAAACAGGGGTTTTTTTTACCCTGTTTCACAAGAAATGAAACACATTAATTACATAAGACCTACTTTTTTATCCCCAAAAAATGAGGGAGAAAGTGTATGCTGCTGGCTTTCCAGGGTCTGCCTCCTGGAAAAACAGCAGCATACACTTTCTTCCCCACTTTTTTGGAATAAAAAAAGTCGGTCTTATGCGACTAATGTGTTTCAGTGGGTGGGGGGAACCATCTTGCAAAGCATCACCACCAGGGCTATGGCTGCAAATTTAAATAATAGAGGATGATGAAAACACAAAGGGTAAAGAGATTGTAAAAAAAAAACCCAGGGAAATCACAAATGTAATCTCTTGTTGACACAAATTATGCAATTGAGTTCCCCACATTTGGGGAAATCACAGGGATCAGCAACACACCCAAAGTGTAATGTATGAGCCTCCCCCTGGGAAAACCAGTTTTATGACATGGTATTTCCCCTACAAGGTATGAGTCAGAATGGCCCTTGCACCTCAAACCCCTTCTGTCCCCTGACCCTCCAAGGCATGGTGACCCCCTGGCTGCACCTCCCACTCAGTACAGGGCTGCACAGCCCCAGTCCTGCCAGAGGCCAAGAGAGCTCCTCAGTGTTTTGGGGTGCCCTGCGGGACCCCCATCAGGAGCTAGGTGTTCCTCCCACAATCCTTTAGTGCTAATACCTGTGCAAATGTGGGGAACACAACTGCATAATTTGTGTTAATGGGAGATTGTAGTTGTCATTTCCCTGGTTTTTCTAGATTTCTTTTCATCTCCCTTTCTCCTCATCAGGACCTATTGCAAAGGTAGCAAGTCCTGGTGATGTCTTGTATTGCATTTTCCTCTTTCTTTCCCCTATGGTAAAGGATCAGGGCAAAAGGAGTCACCATTATCAAGAGCCAGTGGGCTGCTTTGACTTCTTTCATTCTCTTTGTTGCTGGAGAGAGAAAGAAGAGGAAGGCCATCTGAGACCCACTGAATTTCCAAAGGCAATGCAGGTGAGGGAATTGTTTTTTCCCAATATGGTATGGTGAACTATGTTTTGCAAGACGGTGTCTTCTATAGACGATTTTCACAAGACAGTGATTTTTCCGCAGTTGGAACACATTAAATAGATTTCAATGCATTCCAATGGGGAACTGGGTTTCGCAAGATGATGTTTTTGCAAGACAGCGATTTCCATGGAACGAATTAAAATCGTCTTGCGAGGCATGTATTATTGTGAACTGCTTTGGACATTTAACATGAGAAATCATGATGCAGTACAGAAATTTCTAGCAAGCAGAGGCATGGCTTCTCGGAAGTAAGCCCCAATGAGTTCAGTGGGACTTACATCTGGCTCAGCGTGCAGCAGATTGCAGCCTAAGTTGTTAAGGTGCTAAGACTGGTTTTTCTGCAGCAAATGCTTTTAGCTGCACTCTTGGAGATTGTGCAGTTGTTTGCATAGGGTGTTGTTAAAAGCCAGGAAGGAAGATAATTAGCTGGCAGGCTTTTCTTGAGTATTAGAGACAAAACTGAAATCAGACAAAGGAAGGAGGAGTTATTTGCCAGTTTCCATTTCGTAGCTACCTGGCTTCTCTATCAGATACGTACAGTTATTGCCACATAGAATATGGTTCTTTTGAGTTAGAATCAAAAGGGGTGGGCAGTCTGCAAGCCTAAGGGCCACATGGGGTGATTTGATGCCACCATTAGCCTTATTTTCTGAGAATGGTAAGTTCAGGTTTGAACCACCAGATGGCAAGGATGAGGTAATGAATAAATTATTCACATGCCTCAAGTCAATTCGGACTTACGGTGACCTTTTTCAATGTTTTCCAACTAGACAATACAGTATTCATAAGTGGTTTACCATTACTTTCTTCTGGGGGGTGTGTGCCCTGGGACTGTGCAGCCTCCCCAAGGCCACATAGGCAAAGTGAGGAATTAAACTCCCAACCTCTGGTTTCCCAGCCAGAGATCTAAACCACTGAACTATCCAGCCAGCATCAAATTGCACAATTAGGCCAAACATAACGGCCAAGCATTCATGTTTAAAATAAGGCTTGAAATTTGCTTGTATTTCAGTAATCTCACAGGGATAATAAAGGTATCACCCAACCCCCCCCAACCCCATTTTTGCATTGTGCAGGAGGACCACACAGCTTTTTCTCTTTTTCCCAGCCTTAGTGTATCTTTTATGTAAGCAGTGTTAATCATTTCAAGTCGTGGGTTGCTTAAATTGGGGTGGGGAACCTTTGCCTCCCTGGAGTTTCGGATTGCAGCTTCCATCATCCCCACCCAACATAGCCATTGATAAGAGCCTGCACGACTACTAGTGTACTACTACTACTACTACTACCACCTGTGGTCCATCTCCAGCTAATTTTTTAAAAAAATCCTGAATTTAACCAACTGCAATGATAGGAAAAGCCAGAACATAATATTTCAAAAGAAAATAAACTGCAGATTCTGTAGGAGGGGTGGAATTAAAGAGAACACACAATTGCCTTTGACATGCGTGTCTGTGCTGTTTCAGTCACTTTTCTAGGGGCAGCCCTCACTGTTTCTTTAAATGTCTCTGGAGCACACGCTTTTGCCATGTGCAGCGACATTTGGTCTTCAAATCTGGAATTCGTCATCGTCGTTTAGTCGTGTCCGACTCTTCGTGACTCTTCGTCATGAAATCTGGAATTAATCCTTGTTTAATCCTTGTTGGTTTTACCAGACAGGCGGAGGAGGCGATCTTGTACGATCTTCGGCTCGCTGTGAATAAAACCTACACCAGCCAGCGAGCAGAATGTATTAGTTTATTAATTCAGTGGCAAAGAACTCAATTTTGAACAAACACACCTGTCTAATTTTATTGGATACAGTTAATCATTTATAAATTACAGATTATGGACATGGCTAGGTGAAACTATGTACTGCTGTTTTCTGTATTTTTATGCCAGTAAAGGTTATGATGATTATGTTTCTTCAGAGCAGAATTAAGTGGTAGCTCCCCCTCATGGCAGCTTCAGAAATAACACCATGCACTTGAATGGACTTGAAATTACTCAAGTTTAGTTGATGGTAATACACTTTCAGCAATCATGATTGCTGGCTATGGATGGATTAGTTCCAGGACTGCTGATGGGGCTTTAAATGATTATTTTAATAGAATTATACAGGACAGAGAGGAACATGCAGAGCAATATAAGAACAGTGGGACAGTGGGATGTTACTGTACTGCTTCACTCACTGCCAGCAGTAATACATCCATATAGCCGCCTAGAGTGGTCACAATTGACTAGATAGGTGGGGTATAAATAAATAAATAAATAAATAAATATACTGTATGAGCTTTTCTTGGATTCATGGAAGAAAAAACAAACAAGGCTAATAATTTCTTTCTTGCTGGGGCATCAACCCTGATAAAATAAGCAGTGTTCTATGGGTCAGTTTCTCTGTATGACTTGCTGGATTCAGTCAATAAACTTAGAAACACTGGTGCAAGCCCCAGGCGAGTGGATTTGAGCACATTTCTCCATGTCCCAGGAAACATTCAGCCGGCAGAAATCAAGCACAGCTCTTCACAGTTGGCCACCAGGGGGCAGCATTGTGACAGCAGTTCTAACCTTGAGCACAATCATCCTCTCACTTTTAACAAAACCGGTGCTGTCTCATACCATATCTGCTCTCTTCCATTTGGTCCAATCCTCTTCCTGATGGTGGGTCTGTTACTTCCGTTGTTCCTTTCCAGTGACCATGCTGATAAAGACTTCCCTTTGTCAACATGGAGCTGGAGTCCAAAACATCTGAAAAGCCCATGGATCTGTTTTGCTTGCCTGATGGTAGAACTGGTCATGAAATTTGAGTGGAGCATCTAATTGGGGGTAAAAGGATAAACAAAAAAAAATCCTCTTTAAGTTGTCTCTGTCACAGCTGACAAGAATTAAGTCTCCCCTCAGGTACACCAGCACAGTGCATGCTGTTTGTGATGTGTGGCGAGTAAGTGACTGCACACCTTTCTCAAGGGATAATTCTGACAAACCTGCCATGCAGGACACGTGGGAAGGTTGCTGGGGGGGAGGAGGAGAGGACACCTCACCTCAAAAAAGATACTGTAATTTAATAACTACTGAAAGGGGCAAAATTTGCAGTGTCTAATGCAGCAACAGAGCCGGCCCTCCCATCAGGCAAAGAGAGAAGAGTATCTCAGGTAGCAGATGCTGAGGCAGCAAAGGGAACTTCCTTGGAGTGTCCACCCTGAACACACCGTTGGAGAATAGATACACTACACAACGTTTAAATGCCACGTGGCATCCCACTGTCCACTGTTGTAACACTATCTCATTGCCCCTGTGGAAATCTGGGTGTAACAACGTGACAGCAGAAATGCAGGCTGATCCACTGATTTTTGGAATTTCGGTTTCCCCAAGTTGGACCCATTGTAGAAATCTAGATTTTCAAAAGTCAAGAAGGATAGAGGCAGAGGACAATTTACACTAAGCTCCAAGAGCAGAAGCTGCCTTAAGCTATCTTGGAACTGCAGAGCTGAAAGGGACCCTGTGGATCATCAAGTCCAGCCCCTAACAAGGATGCACAATGGGGGAACTGAACTCCCAACAGCTGGCTCAGAAGCCAGATGCCTAAGCTACTGAGCTATCGAAGCGCTGGTTGGCATTCTGTCTCTCTCTCTTTATTCATTTCTTAAGTGCTGTAGGAAAAGCTTATTCTTGCTGAAGAAGAAACACAACACTGTGGAGACAAGGGGGGACTGATACACCCACAAGTGCCCCCTTTGCTTTGGATCAGCAATCACACCAGCAAAGAGCAGA